TATCTATCTATCTATCTATCTATCTATTGGAGTATCTATCTATTGATCACACACCTTTAGCAGGTTTGTCCTTCATGTTATTGCATCCCGTCTCCTACAAACCGTCACCGTGAATTCCTTTAAACACGAAAACAATGTTCTTCGAACCATGATGTCGTTTTTCTACTAACTGTAGATCAGGTAACATTCATATCTGGAGGGCGTGATGGAGGACTTGTTTTAGGAGCATGTGTTGGCAGTTCTTTATTGGAGGGAAGCCCTGTGTTCCCTTCCTGCAGCCTTGTGCGGCCATGTTCTGCTCTGTGTAACCAGCCACTCGGAGGGTATTATAGGAGGATATCCTGCTTTACATTCACCAGAAGCACACTATGTGCTCCGGCCTGCAGTAATCATTTTGCAGTGTTAGCTTTCTGCACCACTGTGCAATCACATTATGAAGGTGCTCTCCATGAGACAGCCCCACTTGGAAAAGCATGAATCTACATAGCAGCAGATTTTTTTAAATTTATTTTTTGCTCTCAATAAAAAATAAGTAAAATAACCGCAATACGCTTCAACCTGCAGTCGTCACATTAAAGTGTCACCTCTCTAAAGCACTATGCAATCATATCACAAAGCCGTCCTCCATGGAACCGGGCACTTGGATAAGCATAGATCTGCGGAGACAGATTGAATCCTCGGGGCCTTTTGCACGGCACCGAGGGGGGGGGGGGGCGGCGGCGGAAGGAGAGCCCGGGATCCGTTAGCAGACAAATATCCCTTGGCCTAACAGTAATCTGCGTAAAGCGGCGGTGCGAGGAGGTGACTTGTGTGTAATATGTGCTGAACATCCCACAACAGAAGGAGCTGAGCAGAGCCTCCTAATCAGGAGGAGCGGCCGACGGCGCCGAAGCTTCGGGCCCCGACCGGCCGACTGGATTCTGCTGAACACGCTGGAAGAGAGATCCCCCCCCCCCCCCCCCCAGTTCTCTTCACGTCCTATCTTTACTGTCCCTCCCCTCCCTCCTTCCTCCTACGTCTCCTCCTCGATGATGGCCTCCTCTCCCCGTCGAGTATGTGCTCTACTCCAGGTTTATCTCTCACCCATTCATTCTTTCCTCTGCCGTCGTTCTCTTTGTTATCTTCATCTTTCCTTTCTTTCCTTTTTGCTCTCATTTTATTTTTTACATCTCCTTTCCTTTGCTCTTACTTGTTCCCTTTCCTTCACCTCTTCATTCCTTTAGTGTCCCTCTCGTATCGTCCTTTCTTAAACATTACTGTCTCTTATTTTAATTTGATGTTCTCTATCGGTCCCTTGATGTCTTCTCCTCCCCTTTACTGCCCTTTTAATTGAGTTTGTTTATTCATTGATTATTTTGATCCCTTTTCTTCCTCTTCCTACATAATTTCATTTCCTCTCATTTCTCTTTCTCTCATTACCCTTTTCTTTGGATTCTTTGTCCTTTCCTCTCATTTGCATTTTTCTTTCCTCTGCACTCAGTCTCCTATACTTCCTTTTCTCCTCTTGCATATGACATCTTTCCTCCCTTCCTCCTACATTAACCTAATCCTTTTCCCAGCATGTCCCCTCTGCTGTCCTCCCCTCTTAATAATTGACATTTTCACTGAAGTATTCCAAAGCCGACGAGCTCTGCAGATTTAGCAGATGAGCCTGCACGCTGCTTATAATTACGGTTAGCGTTTGCGATGACAGAGAGCGAGGTGTGTGCTCGTCAATAAACATCGTTACAAGGAAAAGGTTGGAGGTTCCCGCTGAGGATCGTGAAGGGAAATCAAGTCAAAGCACAGAAGGGAAATAAAATACTTTTTTATTGCTTGCTGTGCAAATTAAGAAACCGTGATCAGAACAAATCGATGCGCTTTAATCTCCGGCATGCCAACTCCTGTCTGATGAGTTGAGAGTTGTCGATGGAGCACTTTCAGGTGATTTAGCACCGCATCTGATGGATGTATTGGAGGTCAAGTTCTGTTTGTTACTGACAGAGAGCGCATCATTCTCTCACTGACTGTCAGACCCTGCTGCAGAAACATGAGAGGTTTTCTAAAGGGACTCTGGTGCTCAGAGACACTACCACTTTGTCCACAGGGACCGCTAAAAACAACACAAAATGAAAGCTTTTTAAAGCTTTAAATATTCTTTTTTAATCATACGGTTTATGATTAGCATACACACAGCAATGTGTTAGCAAGAAAACAAGCCCTAGTGCGTTGATGTTAATATACATGTGCCTACTTTATTTATTCATAGTGGAATGTCACTTCTTAGCTAATCCAACAAATCAACTATACAAAAAAGTTTCTTCATCTCCATATTATTGTTGTGCATGTTATCACAACCAGCACAACTATCAAATTGCAAAGCAGTTCTTACAAATATGTATATTCTGCAGCCATTTCCAGATAATGCCTCAAGTCGCCACTTCAAATATTGTGTCAAGAGATGAAGATGGACGTCCCCTTCCTCTCTAACACATCTCTGAACTTCTCACGATTCTCCTCCTGCTATTTGAACATTAAAATGAGAAATTATTTCTTATTAGCTCTGCTGTGTTTTTAGCCGAGCCAGTGGTTAAGTTATGCACCGCAGCAGCCTGGAGGCAGACGGCGCTGCTAATACAAAACGCTGTCTCCTGTGAAGCCGACAGTATTGGCCAGTGGAATAAGCTCAGGAGGTAATTGGGATCTTTAGTCTGCAAACCAACGGAGTCTCTCTCAATAGCATTAGTCACCCAGAGTAATCAGACACAAAAGGATCATATCTGCGGTGCTGCGCATAAAGACGTTGCTGAAGTTGAATTTTTTTTTGTTTTAATCTTCTTAAGCCGGGGTGGCCTCGAGTTCACTTTTTGAGCATTGGGACCTCCAGAGTTTCCTCAGCATTGTTGCTATAATTACAAAGGAGCATTCTGTCTCCATTGAAATAAGCTCTCTTAAACTGTCTGGCTGCACTGCCCGAAAAGTTTGCCCCGTGCATCACCTCTGCTGTTCGCTCCATCACCAGCAGTAATTGTCTGGAAAGTCCTGCAGCGCTAATTGCAGGATGCACCACAATGTGTGTACGTGTGTGTGTGTGGTGGAGTGGGAGGGGGCGGGGGGATTCCTCTCTGTGCATGTAAATTAGGGCCACATACACATTAGTCACGAGTGACAGGAGCCACTGTTTAAAGGGCTTGCTGTGCTACAAGCGTTAGCATGTTAAGCTAACGAGCCAAATGGGCCGAAAGAGATTCTTCAACACGGATCAACACGGAACAAATGATGAAGTATTACAGAGTAATTCTGTACTGTACTGCATAATACTGTACTGTATAATACTGCATTTTACTGTACTGTAATGTACTATAGTATACGTAACTATACTACACTATACTATGCTGTACTATATTAAACTAGTAGCCTAACTCCAGTAGGCGAGTGGATCATACTGCTGCAGTATTGTATCTTATATATTATATACTGTATAAATACACTAAATAAAGTAAAGTACTTCTATACTGTGCTTTACTATACTACACTACTCTTTACATATTATACTGCACTGTTTTGTGTTATACTGCTTTATGCTACACCATGCATACAGTTCTTTATTGTACTATACTGTACTTAACTAGACAACTACTACTATACTATATCCTCTTACTATACACTAGTACTCATGAAGTCACTGCTGAGAGTCAGCAGCTCTGAAGATGCTCACAGACTTTGAAAAGAGGCTCATCTCTGCAGAACCCGAACGCAGTTTTGTGTAAAACATTTGAACTTAGCGAAGCACAAAGATGTACAATAACCACACACTTCAGATATTTGACGACACACTAGAGTAACTTGAGTATGTTGCAGTAGGTACTAATCTACTTCAGCACTGCTAAAATAAAATAAAAACGTTAGATCCAAATGCTGTACAACAGCTTGTGTAACGTAAAGCAGACTCCGTCCTTCTGGTCACGTCTCAGGCAGATGTCATTTTTAGACCCGTGACTCACTATCAGAGCACCCTCGTTTGGCACCCAGTCGGGATTTTGTTCAACTTGACATTGAAGCGAATAATTCCGTGTTATAGCTTCTATACTATGCTCGGACGTTGCCAAGTGTCATACATGCATACAGTACAATAAACGGCTTGTTGCAAAGCCAAAGATTAACGTTTTCTCAGTCATGGTGAGGACACACACAAGCCAAGATAAAAAAAAAGAAGAGTTGTGTGTCTACATCTGCCTTCAGAAGGGAGACGGAAAATAATATCTCAGAAAAGGCCGTATTTGTTTTGCCGGAGAGAACTGACAGATTTATGGAAACCTGTGACTAAGCCTAATATTTGGTGTTTTGGACAAACTAGCTGTTGTCATCCTGAGCATGTTTTGCCACTAATGAAAGAATTATGTGTGGCATTAAGGGAGAACATGTCTGCGTCAACACAATGAATTCAGCTTGAAATATTGCTCATGTTTGACAAACACATTTTTTTTGTTTTGCTTCATTTTTGGACCATGTTGATGAACATAACCTGCAACATTACATTATACTGGAAACCAAAAAAGGCATTTTAGTTTTCTCCACGTCTGTAAAATGCCTCTTCATTGCATCGGGGTGGATCACAGACACAAAACCTTGGTCAGGGAAGAAAAGAAGAAGCACCTTCACGCACGTGGAGGGTACCGGCAGGACCGTGGTTGATGCGGCCATGCATTCCTGTGACCATCATACACTGCGTGCACCAGTTAAACGGTATTTCCTGTGTCGACTAATGGCGTAGCCAGGTCATCAAAAGGGGGCACTATCGAGCCAATATGTCACACCGCAGCTGGACACTCCAATCAGACTGCAATTTTCGCCACGACTGCCAAATTTCAAAATCTTACCAGTATCCCAAGCACCTCCTTTTCGCGATGAAAGACGTAGGATAATAATAATAATGAACATTAGAAGAACAATAGGTCCTCCGCTCCGACTACGTTGGTGCTCGGGCCCTAAAAAAGGGGGAAAAAGAAAAAGGAAAGTACCTTTCTTGTGAGTAGCTTCATTTTTGGAGCCTTTGGGGTCTAATAAAAAAAAGATCAGAATTAAACACAGCATATTCTAACAACACGTTAGCAACTATACGTTGTTTGTCCTCGTTAAGGAAAACAACCGCTTATTCTATCAAGGAGCGAACAAGACAGCAAGGCTGGATTATCTACGGCGTCGCACTGCTGCCAACACTCAGCGGGGGGGAGTGTATGGCAGTGGGGCGGGGGCAGGGAGGAGAAGGGGTGGGGGGCAACATACTGTGAAGGCAATAGCAGGAAGGAGGGATGCACGAGTCTGTATAGAGGAACAATCGTACTGCCATACTGCAGCGGGCAGGAGAGGAGAGGCGATGCACTGAGATGATGAGCAGGAGGGTTGCAATGCAGTTCTGTCAAGAGGAGCTTAAGTAAGTACAAGCAAAATGCACTACAGTAGATGCAAGAGGCTAGAGAGAGAGAGAGAGAGAGAGAGAGAGAGAGAGAGAGAGAGAGAGTGAGGAGAATGCAAAGACTACATGTCAAACTGGCTTCATTTTTGCCTCATTTGGCCTTCGAGGAAATTACACTTTACTTGTCTTTGTGGGCAACAAGTTGGTGAGTTGCTTATTCCAGAACAACTTGACTAACTCCCACATGAAATGAACCGGTCTGCTGACAAAGTCCCCCCCCCGTAGGAATGAACAATCTCTTACTTCTCTCTTCAAATGGGCGCCATTCATTTGAAGTCATTTGGCTGAAATGGAGCTCATCGCAATGATGAAAGGTTCTACTTCCACCGCCTCCAAAATGTAAAACTTCAACCACTTCCAAACACACCAAATAATATCAGTTATAATATCAGTCAAATTAATATCTAGGAATTGGAAGTTAAAGCTGAACAATACACAGTGACATCTTTCCCCTGTTCACTCATGTATCATTGAAGAGCAGTTTAGCGGATTATTCTAGAAAGTTCAAGCAAGTACAGAAAGTAAAGACTAAGTTTTACTGTCCATTGATCAGCAGATACTCAACCAACCCTACAAGCCTTTATGTCTGACCATCACTCACTTGTCCTGTGTTCATAACACAGTATATTAGGAATTAAAAGTCCTTTACAGAATCCCGTAACAACCTCGTGTCCCGTAAAGGTCGACCAGTGTTCAGCTCCTTCTGACCTTTAAACATTTAATGCTTTTTGGGCAAATAATGATCACATCTCTGTGTTTGACTGCCAATGTGTTTCCCTGCAATCAATTCTCAACAGAAGTTAGAAATGTCACCACGCAGCCTTTGATCTCCATCACCATGAACAGCTTCGTTCTCCACCTATTACTCTCAACTCTGATCTGAGGCCAAACAAATGTGCTGTCACTACACACAGAGGACTTTTCTTTTTTTTTTTGTACTCTCGTAGCTCAGATTTTCTGATTGATGTCCTATTCTTGTCTCCGCACCGCATTGAACTGAGTAAACCGGGCCCGGCCTGCTTTGCTGTACTTGACAACTGCCATTGTGAGGGATGGTGACTACGCCGAGTAGAAGTCTGGGAGCGATATTGTAATCCGTCATTGTCAGCCGGGGAGGGGGGGACAAAGGGGGGGAAACGGCTCCTAAAATAGATGGAAAGCATTCGTCGTGACCATGAACTGTTGTAGACAGGTGACTTAAACTCTATAATCTCTCTGAATCCATGAAAGGCAATTTTTCCTCCCCTTCCTCTGGCACGCGGCGATCTCTCCGTGTCGGGGGTAAGCCCGGGCTTATCCCCGCGGCGGGGTGGCCTGTCCAACATCTGAGCACCTGACTCTGGCATTAAATAACTCACACAGCAGCTTTGGTTTTTGTGTGTGCGGGGGGTGGGGGGGGCTCTTCTTAGCTGGCAGCGAGGATCTCATAACGCGAGCTAATTACTAGCGCTGTGCAGAATCAATTCTCCCGGCTTTGTAGGGGAGCCTCGCCTTCGTGTTGGAAAACAAAGGATACTCTTTTGGTTAAATAATCACAGGGATTTTCCCTAAATGTTTTTCCCCCGTCTCTGGTTTCCTCCCAGGTTGCCTGCAGCAAACAAGACACTTGCACACGTTTGCCGTGTAGAGCGCGAAAAACAGCAGCTACCCACCTTCGTGATCGTGTCACAGCGGTAATCAATTATGCGTCAACCTTTCCGTCAGCCCTTTCACTCTGATAAGGTGGGCTTACACCTTTTGTTTTTTCTCCTCAAGCTGGTAATTAGAGGTGTGACGGGATTCCACAGGAGGACTGATCGGCCCTTTTAAAAAGCAGCATTCGCCTCCTTATAGACTTATTAGCCACGGACCGGTGGATGGCGGCGGTGGCGGTGGGGAAGACGGAGTAATGTAGCCGTCAACATTACTCACACATCCCAGATCAGCTGTGCATCGCCTCCAGCTAAAAGAGATTCAGCGCTTTTTGTTGTTGCTATCTTTAGATCAAGAAGGAACAAAATACGGACGCGAGGTATTTATAGCAAACCGTGTGACCAAAGAGCTCATTGGTTTCAACAACACGGCATATTTGACGGCGCTCTAATTATCAGCTTGATACTTTTCATACTTTACATGTTTCAAACATCCTCGTTTCTTTTCATTTTTCATTGGCCCCGCTCCTCTACCCCCCCCTCTCCATCTCTTTTTTTCAGTCCATCTTGAGTGCCCTCGTACGTTCGGCTGCTTTTTACCGTCACCCTCTTCAATATTCCTCTCTTCGCTGCCCTTGCCGTTCCACCTCTTTCCGCTAGATGCCGAAGCGTGATCAATATTTTTGTCATAACTCAGGAGAGAGTCACCTCTGCGGTGACATTAAAATTCCTCGCTCTGTGCAATATCCCCCCCCCCCCATTCAAATTTCCTGGCTTTGGAAAGGATGGAGCCATTACCTAGAATACTAAAAGAGCCGCGAGGCCGTCCTTTGGGTAAGGATGTCCCCTCGCTCCAGCAGATCTCCGTGTTTGCAATCTTAGCAGAAAGTAGCTCTCAGAAAAATAAAAAAGTAAGAGGAGGAAGGAGGGAGTGGATATTACAGTTTGCATCTCAGAGCTGCTTATTCATGTGTGCTGCAAGTGTTATACATAACTGAGCAATACTGAAGCCCACTGGGAACTGTGTTAGCATCAATATCCCGGCGCTAAGCTAGTGGAAACATATTCTGTTTGCAGTGTGAGATCCTGGATTGCACTTTTGCCATCTGCAGTTCTTTTCCCCCCAATCTCCTGTCGTAAGCAGATCCCTCCGAGTCGGTTCGCCATTTGCAATGCTACCTTCCCTCTCTTCCTTCACCTCTCCCTCTTTCTCTCCCTCCATGACCCATTCTTTTATTCTTTCCTTCCCCCTGCAGCCATTCCTCCAGCCCACACTCATTACCTTATGCACATTAATCCCATTAAGTAGCCATTAAACAAGTGCTGATAACACCAAATGAACGTCAGGCTCCGACAGCTAATAACTACAGTCCCCCCTCGGCACGTTCGACCCTGGCAAGGAGAAGAGGAGATGCAGAGGGGAACAGGGGACGGTGTAGTACAACACAAGTGTAGTACAGAGTAGTGTTGATTTGTGTAGTAACAAGTACTGTGGAGAAAGAAAAAGAGGACAGAGAGGAGGAAGCCAAACATGTAAATTCATACCGCCATACGTTGTAGATTTACTCGTGTCCACAAGTTCGGACGAGAAGGATTCATTCGGCTCAGACGCGAAGTGGCACACTGGTGGAATTTGTATTTGTTTTACACTGAACATTCCTGGGATTTAAGGGCAGAGAGAAGCTTTGACAAAGCAACCGGAGGGAGCAGCGTGAAATAAAAGGATTGTGTCCGAAGAAGCGAACCTGAGCTAAAGCCGCCACAGCGGTTAGTTCAAGAAGAGAGCCGGAGGTAAAGAACCTGCTGAAGTACACCACCCGGATGCACACCGCATTTAAGGTTGCCGATTCGCATCTTGTGTAGGGGGGGATAGATAGCGGCTCACTAGCAGCCCGCTCTGGTTGAGCGTAAAACCAGATGCTTGTTCGCTCGCGGTCGTCGTCCTCGTTGCCGCTCGGCTTGAGTGATGAGGAAGGACAAGGTTATGGAGGAGAGGGAGAGGGGAGTCGCAGCTGTAGTCTGTGCCATTCATCAAGTCTGCGCACACACACACACACACACACAAGAGGAAACACACCTTTCCCTCGCCCGCTATTATCTCTGCGAGTCTCCTGTCTGTCTCTCGCTCACACACACTCATTCATTGGCAGGGATGGCAGATTTAGAAAAGGCCCGGTGTTGACGTTCTACTACGTCTCCTCACTGTTGAGGAGCTTTGCAGCCTCTCTCCTGCTCTGTGAGCTTGACTTCTGTCTGCCAGCCAGGTCAAAGGAGTCCAATTTGTTTCACGAATCAGTGGAGTCGGTAAACAAGGCTTCGAATACTGAGGAGGCCCGGGGAGCGGGGGGGGGGGGGGGGTCAAAGGAGAGAGTTGATAGGAATAAAGAAGGGAAGAGAGGAGGGAGAGAGAGGGGCACGAATATGTGAGGTACGGAAAAAAAGGAAATCAAGGAAAGCAATCAAGAAAACAGGACTGAGCCCGCCAATGAAGGATGGAAGAAAGGAACCGAGGAAGGAAGGAGGGAAAAGGAATTAAATAAAAGAATGAGAGAGCAGGGAGAGAGAATTAAAGAACAGATGAAGTCATGGATTATAAATGGCTTGTCCCAAATGTGTCAGGAGTGTTTGCTCTCCTCTCCAACGGAGGAACCTGCTAAATCAATCGGAAGCCTTTTTTTGTCCTCACAGCGGACCCCCGGTCCTGATCAGTGTCATTTCCTCTCATGTTGGCACATTTGTAGCTTGCAGCAAATCTCATCTCTTCCATCCAAAGTCCCCCCCCCCCCCCCCTCCCTCCCTCCCGCCTGCCTGCCATCCAAAATTAGTGGGGCTGGTGCTAATTTGATGAGTTGCGTGGGCGGAAGAGAAGAACTAGCTGTACCATCATGCTGTCACCATTTAGAAGGGAGGACCGGGGTAAGAGGTAAGAAGCCCCCCCCCCCCCATCCCCCCGTGTTCTAGATAGAGCCAATCGTCATTTCAGTTCTTCTTTTGGATGCTAGTGGTCTTGATCATTTTTAAATAGAGTCAAAATCAGTTTACTGGTGGGAGGACATCAAGAGAAGTAGGTTTTGGAAAATTTTGGGGACAAAATAAGCTTCTGTATTGTTTTTAAATTAGTATATAAAAATATAAAATATCAATATCACCTTTTAATATTTCTTATTTAATGTTCAATAATGTGAAACATTCGGACCAATTATATCTTATTTTAGTCTTTGTTTAGTCTTTATGTTACGTTACAAGATTTTACATTTACTTTTATCATAACAGAGTTGAGGTCAATTAACATTTAAATATCCTGTAACTATGTTTACTTTAACATACTTCTTGTGCATATCTAACATTTAAAATTATGTGTATTTTAAAAGAAAATAATTCTTAACCCCGGTCGACCCAATCTATGACAACGGGTCACATTCTGTCACCCTCAGCTGTCTTTTCCGTTTTCCAGCTGACATGGCATTTAATTTGCTCCTTATAATATATGATATCATCTATCGTGATGGGAGGTAATGGTGGAAGTTCATAAAGACAGTTTAACATCAAACAACTTGTCCCGCTGTTCAGAACACATCACTTTCCTCTCGATTCAGAGAGAATGGCGCTCTACCAGGAGAGTGAGTGGATTGTGAGTTCACTCACTAGCAAGCAGGTTCATCCTACGATGTTTATAACGGAGACGCTAACCGGCAGGCAGTGTTCAGCATTTCTATGTGAGTCTTTATTCTTTCCACTGCGTGTGTTTAGTTGATGACATCCATTAAGTTCGACAGGCTGGCCTCCACCACAGTGTTGCCAGGTGTTTGATAATCATCCTATTTGTACGATAATCTTTCTGTGCAATCAAAGTACTTGTAGGTCACACGCTAACTGGCACCTTCAGTATTTCTGATTCGTCCATCTTTTCTCAATTAATAAGTTTCAATGATTTAAAATAAAGCATGCGACATCAAACTGTCTTCATGAACCTCTTCAATCGTGGACATTTTCTTTTGTCCAATATCCCAAAATGTATTATGATCAGTGTTGTTGGCAGATTGTATCATTATTATTATTATTATTTTTACACCAAACTAGCGCTCTCAGTCTAGGTTTAGCACAAAACAATGATTTAGCTACTATGTCTTCATTCACAATTATTAATTTGAAGGTTCATTCCGCAAAATTCAACATTAAATTCAATCCTAAAATCTTATTATTGAATTATATTATTATCATCATCGAGGGAACATGAAAAAACATGATAACATTTGAAGGTTTAATTCAACGTTGAATTGTGCAGAATGACCCTTAAAATTGTGAACCAAATTATAGTTTAGTTATGAATTATTATTATTATTATTATTTGAATAAGAAACATTTGACAACTGTTGCACACGTGCAGTCCACCCCCCCTCAATGACTGACTCAATGATGCTGTGTGAGTACATGATCCTTTAGTTCCTTTTCCCTCCAGAGTTTATTAAGCAGCAGAGCTGTCAAGCTGTTTATTTCATAAATGTGATGCTGGTAATGCAGTGGCATAGCTGCTAGGACACACACACACACACACACACACACACACACACACACACACACACACACAAAGAAAGTGCATGAATGAGCAAGTTGGGGAGCTCACGCTCTGCCACTCCGTCGACTTGACAGCCGTGACAGTCTGGAAATGCACATCGGGCCCTGCCTGCTAACAGTCGGCCCTCTGACACAATGAGCTCCGCAGATCTCAGAAAAGATGAGCTCCTCCTCCTCAGTACGAACGTCTTCATCACAGATTGCTTTGCGTCGACATTAACCCCCAAAGGAGACGTTAACATTCATTCGAATTATTTTGTGGTTGCGGTTTTTACATTTTCTGAAGCTCACTGACCTCAGCTGGAGGATCGTTACCATCATCTGCATGTCCAACACACTGCCGAAGAGTACTTCCATCTGCATTTAACGTTCTTTATTGCATCACATTAGAAGAATGGAAGAAACATAAAAGCCATAAATTCAAATAACTGTCACGTCGACTCGTTTGACTCCTGATTTGAAGGTCAGCGCAGCACTAGTGTCAGTAAATCACACTGGATCGTTGCCAAGCAGAGCGGAGGAGAAATCAAATTTGAAAATGCAGAAACGATCTCCAAAATGGACTCACGACCACAACGAGGCCTCGCAAAACACCCGAGTGAACTTCTGGCTGGTGGTGCAGCCGCGGCAGGTTTAATAATACAGACTTAGTCACGGTAACCCCCCCCCACCACACTCCAAATTCTATCTTGCATGAGCTGCGATATCCCACTCACAAAGATCACCATAGAATGGGTTATGCCATTATGGGCTCAGCAAAAAAAAAAAGAAGAAAAGAAAGCTCCATGGCAGCATTCATAAACATAAGCTGTGGTTCACTGCTGCACATTCTAGCAGTCTGGTTCTCTGTGTTTTCAGTGTACAAAACATGAGGACGCCTTTTAATTCCACCTTAACTCTGCTGTAAGGATGAAGAGGAGACGCAGGCAACACACATCGATGCACCGTGCCTCCGGGTTTTATTGTTTCCTATAGTGGATGATGTGTGACCTCTAACCCTCCTTTGTTTGGGAATTATATTTAATTGAGTCAGAAAGACAAAAAAAACAAAAACAGCATCCACGCTAAATCAAATCAGCCAAACCACAGGTCACGATTCTTGAATGTGAAACTCTGTAATTGCCACAATTCTTTGGTGGGACAGAAGATCAAAATTTGTACTAAAATGTTTTTAATAAAACCTGGAGGGAAAGTGTTCCTCTTCCTACTGATATAGAATACATAGGCGTTATGATATGATTCATAATGTAACAGGTAATAAGGGATTCCCATACTTGACGGACAGAGCCAGGGATCTACACACAGGACGGTGGAACATCGCAAGGGTGCTAATATTTTGTACACTCAGAACACACAAATGACCCGCCGAACTAAATATGCAGAAATTACTCACATCCATTCTGCAGCACTAAGATATGTCAGTATTAACATGCAACAAGGCTCAAGTGTCACATCTTATTGCCATAAATCAGTTCATGTTGAAAAACACAAAGTGGAACTCGGTAATTCCAGTTGTGTTCACATAAATTAGTGTCGCTTCAAATCACTTCAAAATCATTTTAGGAAAGACAATTTTTTTTTGTTTTGTACTTGTTGTATTATTCATAAGCTTGAATGAATATGGAGGAGGGTTGGCCCAGTTTTCTAATGTCATACAAACATATTAATGTCCAGACTGTGTTTCCTAATGTGAGCACGTTTTAATATAGAAACCTCTGACATGTGTCTTTATGGGGGCTTCCATTAAGGGAGAGGTCACTAAATATTATATATTAGCATCATCACCAGCGTCATCATCATCATCATCATCATGAAATCATATCTAGCAGCAGACTTGTGGGAGCGAAGCACATTACCTTGACCACCAATACAAGCACTGGGGATACTGTGTGGATACCAAGGAATGTAGCCGACTAGCACCGCTAGAGATCCGCATGTATCTCAATGAGAATGTGGTTTATATAGCGTGACTGAGGCTCACAGTGCAGGGAAAGGGTTTTGTAAGAGAAATTAAAAAGAGAGAAAATGGGGATTCGGGGTCTAACACCTGAAGAGCCTGATTCTACATTTAACAAGTGGAGCAATGCGTAGAATTACCTTTGTTGAACACTGCAAAGGGCAAATGAAAGAGATCGACAGATTGAGAACAACCAAAATGATTAAACACAAAGCAACAGAATTTTAATAATGTCTCTATGTATATATATAAACATTAACTTTTCTTCTTTTTATAATAAAACAAGTGAATACAAACCTGTCTCGGTGACAACCTTGACTAAACCCTTAAGAGAGGCGTTTAGAGAAGGTAGTGAAATGCAGAAACAACACTTTACCAGAGCTTTTGATATTGTTTGGCTACATTCCTGTCTTTATCCGACCGAGCCCTGGTGGCAACTCCTACCTTTGAAATTCGGTCGAATTCTGGCGTCGTAACCCGAGACTTTTCCCATGAGTTTGTCCAGGAACTCGGAGGGCGGCATCGGGGAGGCGGCTTTCCTCGCCGCAGCTTCTTTCGATGCTGCCAGGCTAGAAGACAGAAGGGTGCGTTAGAGGGGAGATGTTCCGCTTTGATCGGATTGTGATGAGAAAAGGGGCACGAAGATGAACGTGAGAATGGATTGTAGTCATAACACATCAACATTCTTCGTACGAGTTGATAAAAGCAGTTTATCAGCTACAACGCTAGCTTGGCAGTGATACACGCACCCGAGAGAGACAAAAGGCTAAAGGTCACAGTAGCCTTACGATAGACTGATCAAATGAAGTGTCCTCTCTGGACACAACCACGGCGTTGGATTGGCTTTAACACAACTCTGATTCACATTAAATATACCACGAGAGCTGCAGCTGAACTCCAGGAAACCAGCACAAAACTGGTGGCCTGATGCTAAACTACTGGCTGTCACTAAAAAGTCCAACCAATAAAGTTTCTTTCAACAATCCTGTCTCTTTCAACAGTACTCATTTGATGAAACTACCGTGTTCCATTCCTTTACACTCAGAGCGTTTCTATAATGCCCTTAATTCACATTTCAATATATTTTTTGACCGATCACGGTGTGGGATACGGACATATTCACGTACGCTATAGTGTTCAACAACACGAAGCCTCCGTCGTCTGAAGACCTCAAACTTTATTACTCCTTTCAACCTTGACAAAGGTAGTTCCAGAACCAGATCCACTCTTTCTGTTCTTACCTTTCACAATAAAAGCCCTGCAGACAAAAAGACTACATAACTGTTTACCAGAGGGAACTCAAAATCACTCGGAGCACTTCACTCAAAGGAAACTAAATCAAATATCTTACGGTAGCTTTAGGCTAAACAACAGTTTACCTCAGACTGACAGATGTTGCTCTTAGTCAATAGGATCCTAGTTGGTGTTCTACCTGCACAAATCTATTAAAACATTTGATTGAACAGTGTTGCAACTATCGCCAATTCACATCGCTGCTGGTATGAATGGAAGAGAAGAGCTTATTCGTCAGGCCCCCATATGTAAAGGCCTTTAACACTGGTCCCTTACTGATTAATGTCCCATCCCACCATCACACGGAAATACACCCGATGAAGGAAACAATGATACTGTTTCATGGAGGCCCATTAAAGGGAGAAGGTCGGGGTGGATCGACGGGCGACTGAATGTGACTCTGACAGCAGAGGGCAGGTTTGTGTCCCACCTTCTATAAGAGTCGAGCGTCTTTTACCGCAACATAATAAATTCACTTTGATCGTTACATGAACTGGAACCAAACAGTTTAAGTGATCAAACCTGAAAAAAGGACCACTGTACCACAGTACCTACATCTACAGTACCACTGTCGATGGCACAAGCATTCGGGCAAACCAAATGAGCAAATCTACACTACATATGAGACAAACTAATACCACTTGTCTACTATAGTTAGCATGTTTATGCAAGTTTGACACACAGTAAAACCTGCTCATATACAGTAGGCGATACACTCCTCTGTTTCTACGCCTTTCTGTATTTTTTTTTGACGTCACAAACAGCGTCGTCACTTAGTCTTATTTCATTTAATTAAAAAGTGAATAATTAAAGTGAACTTTTACAGTCCTGTGCTGACAGGAGTGTAATGCATTAGTGGTTATTACACACGCGGCCTTCCTTGAAGTACCTATTTCAACTAATGCTCTAATCCATTTAACCCGCTCTGTCTGCGCTGAGAGCCACATTGATTTTACAATCAGGCCGAGGTATGTGCACAGTTCACCTCTTTACCTCCTCTACCTCCTCTGCCTCATGCTCTCTGCATGGTGACACATCCCCAGTACGGCCTTTAGCCCACGGACATACAATGACTCCAGCTTGAACAGTCAATAATACTACACACACACACACACACACACACACACACACACACACGATGGATCGAGCTAAAAAGAATCCAAACAGCCTGTTAACTTAAATTATTCCCAAAGAATAGACCACTTATGAATGAATAGAAGAAAGAAGAAAGCTCACTAATTAGCTCCCTGGTTACAATAATCCATATTCATGCTTTATTTGTGAGGATCTTCATTGACAAACCGATTCTCAAACTTTAACCAAAACCTAAAACCAAAACCCGAAATCCCAAAGTCTTATTCCTGATTCAGAAGTGAGGAGCAGAAACAAATTCCCCCAAAAAACGTTTGTTCTAAACTTTCCAAAGAATTATTCTGACCTTCTACAAATAATTTGACTTTCCAAAAGTGAAAGTTTACAAACAATAGTATTTTTTCCCTTTGCAAAACTTTCCGACTCCATATTTATTAAAATGTCTTTCGAAATATGTCCTGACTTAAAGAAATCCTCTTGAATTTCAAAACACATTCTCACTTTCCCAAAATGTCCCGAGTCTCTATAATCGCCCCGACTTTACAAAATGGGTCCTCATTTTGTAAAAAATGTCTCGATTTTTCAAAATGCCCTAAAACTCAAGTTCTTACACTTAAATAAAAGTACGACACACTCTCACCATCTCACTTCCATGCATCTTAGAATAACACATATGTGATTCTGCTGCATCGCTAATATTCAGTTTATTTCTGCTGTTGATTTTAGCACAAAACTCAATGTTTTACGTTTGTTTTTGTTCTGTTCTTCTGACTCACGTTGATTCACTAACTCGTTCACTCATTCAGGTGAAACGGAGTGACTCACTTATTTATGTTGCTTTAGTTCCTGCATCACAGGCTGTAAGGACACGATAAAGAGGCGAGTCCTGGGATTTGAGATGAAATATTTTGCTGCTGGAGTTGGATGGAAAGTGAACTGACAGTGACTCCTTTCTGAGCGAGGACCGAGCTGACCCGTGGCCTGACAGGGGAACTGCATTAGCAGCCACTTGTAGTGCGTTCTGCATTTGATTGCATGGTTTCTCACTGCGCCTGGAGAAAGAGCACGGACCGCAGTGTGATCCGGGCTATAAATAAGCTGCCGTGCTGACCCATTTCATTTGACTTCAGCCTCACAATGAGCACTTTCACCAGCAAGACGCAGCAAGAACTTTCTAGTCTTTTCACAGCTTCAGTTTTCGTCTCTTTTTAGTCTTTTAGAATTCATTATAGTGGAATTACTCGGCCCAGTCACCGGGACATTTTTTTGGCATTGTAGGTTTCTGCAAAACACGGGATACGTTGAAAGGGAAACGTTTTTGTCTTTCAGTCAGAGCAGCTGACGTAGCACAACGGGAAAGTGACGTAGCGTACCGAGCTGCCCTTGTTGAAAGTTGCGTGGATATAATAATGAGTATAAGGAGCTAGAGAGTCCTGTAAGGGCGGGTCGGTGTGGTGGACGCGTCGAACAAACACAGGACTTTCACCCAGGACACCGCTGTCCATGTGTCGTGTGAAACCAAAAGTAAACATTGACTTTACGTCCCAGAGGTCTGCTGAGTAGGGGTGTAAGTTAGTAAGGCTCGTTATGTTGTTGCATTTGTTACGTTATGATTTTAACACAAACCATGATGTTTTTTCTAACCTTAACCGAGTAGTTTAGTTGCGGACCTTAACCAATTCTGACGACTTTTCAACTAGTTGCTTCCTATTATTATCAACATTAAAAACAAAGTTTGGTTTGTTAAATTCCTTTCATGATCCACGTCAGAAACCTGATGCAACGACTCATTTTAAAAATAAAAAAAAAGGATTTTATGAGATTAAACATCTTATCCGTGTCAGTTGCTGCAGGATTTCACTTTGTTCCACTTTTATTGACTTCTTTAAACTCGGCTCAAACCACCAGTTGTCTAATTTCCAACTATATCAATATATGTCAGGCTGGATTTTGTGAAATATGAAATATTCTGGATGTCTTGTGCATCATTTATGCAGTTTGATGCGATGGTGGAGCCCAAAAAATCTTCAGTATGAATATTTCACTAAATTTAAATATCTTAGCTTTAGCATTGGAGCGAGCAGCCGGGGGATTTAATACCAGCACTCAGTTTGAAAAAAAGAAAAGATCTACGCAAAGTCGAAGAAACCTGAGTAGAAATGTAGAATCAATAAATCTAATCATTTCTATATGAGGAGAAAAAAAACAATGTGTCACTTATTTAAATGAGCTCGTCATTCACTTAGCTGATCAAAATCCTCTTTGAACATTTGAACCAAAACACGACCCATAAAAATGTATCCATACGTATGAAAAATGGATTTGAAGCCTGATAGGATTTTTCTTCTGACATAAATCTTTTACTTTGGTTCCGCCTGAAACAAACTTTCTCGGAGTGAAGAGGAAGTTACGGGCTGTGTTTATGAGCAATAATTCATCTCGGTGCTGGAACATTTTCACTTTGCAGCACTCAGACGTCCAGTGAAGCAGCAGTCGAGTCTCTTCCTCTTTCAGCTCCACGTATCAATGATTGAAAACAGACAAAATGATTTTCCTGACAAAGTTCAAATCAGGCTACAGAGTGGAACGATGGCAACCGCATGTGACTTTTCTTTTAGCGGAAGTTTTTAGAATATTTTAAGTTCAGAAAGTCCATTGAGTGACCGAAACATCTGGCCTTTATTGACCCTCTAGTTAGAAACATTTCCCACAGTGTAATGCTGTAAGAGCAACACAGAGAGTTTGAAGTGGCAAAAGTGACAGTTATTCCGGCATTAGTCGAGTGCGGGGGAGGGGAGCATCGCCGCATTAATCTCATAAATTAAAATGACCGATGATACAGTCGAATGCGCTTAAATTCTCAACCTAAATGTAAAACCGCTAACCGTGACTTTCAATATGCTAAATTGTGACGCGCGGCATGATAAATGGCGCCATTAGCAATTCATAAACACGTAATGCAGTCGGCGCTGTCGCTTTATCAGGAAAGTGCTGATCGGAATCACAGTCCGCCGGGTGAAGACGCGAATTATGGAGCGGCCGTGATCGGGGAACAGAGTGAAGCGAGGACGAATCCCTTGTTAGTTCTCGTCTCATGATGTATTCATGGGCACAAGAAGCCAAATTAAAAAGCACACACACACACATTAATCAGCTACACACAAACGATATCACACTCTTCTCC